GATATACATAATATTATAAGATTTGATTTTTCTTTTTAGTAAATAATATTCAATATTTATTAAATTATGTAAAGTTATGTAATATTCTGTTTTTTGTTGAATTATGTGAATTCTGTGCTAATATGTAAATCACATAAAATCAGTGATCCTGTTTCAAGCATGACAAATTTTTTTGGATTTTTTTTGAGGAATTTTGCCTACCTCAATTTGACCCTGAATTTTTTGTTATACCGGAATTTCTGGTTGGTGATTGGCTGAAATTTTGGACTGGTTAATTTACATGTAAAAGAAAAGTAAACAAGACACGTACTTTCATGTGTTCCATGTCATATCATATTAAACATAATGCAATTGGATAATGGTGAAAGAGCAAGATATCGAGATGTTCTTTTGATAAGAAATGGCTTGGAGTCTTTCTTCTCTTCTCTTGTGCCAGTTTCTTTTTTATTTAAGATCAAAGAAGACTCTCATTAGGCTGGTGATTGGTTTAGATAGGTTTTTATTTACTAGTACAAACTTTTCCTTTCCCTTTTATTTTTCCTTTATTTCTTAGAAAAATAAAATTTTTTTTTATCTCTTAGGATAACAAGATTGTGCTGGGGTGACAGTCTGAATGTAGGCTGGCATTAATCTATTGGAATAAAGATCAAAGGTATCTAACTCTAGGAAGGAGCTATTTTATCATTCCCCACAATCACATCTAGAGAGTTAGAATTTGAAAAGTCTAAGATAATTAGTATTATATAATAATAGCTTAATGAACCTACTCCCTTGTAATAAAATAGTTAGTGAATAGCTAAATCATGTGGGCAACATGATGGTCTTGGTATTAAGGATTCAAGAATCATGTACAAATTTGAATCTTGTTAATGGGTATTCTGCTATAATAAACCATTTAGCTTTAGTATAGTATCATATTGTATATTGTATTATTGTTGTTCAGAATTGAATTAATAAACACACTAATAGCAATTTGATTAGAGGAAAAAAAAATTTAATTGATTGATTATTTATAAAATAAAATATTATTTTTTTTCATAATTTTGTTCCAACCTGTACATTAGGGATATTAAATAATTCAAGTAATTTGAAATGTTTATTGAAAATAAATAGTTTTTTATAACATTTTTTTATTATTTAATATTTTCTCTAACAATATTTTAATTAATGAAGTTAAACGATTCAGCTCATCTATAAGAGAAATCAATTACATACCATCTCAGGGAACCGATTAAGGACCGGGTTGGTTCCGAAGCAATTATTACTAATTAAATTTATTGATAGCTTCGAATAGCAATAATCATATGTATTTGCTGCGCCCAACGGCTTAATACAGTATAATGTGCACGTTACTTTTTTTTATGAACTGGTTCAATAACCGAACCGTGTCATTCTTATTTTAGACACACTTTTTATTTAATATATAATTATTTAATATATAATTATATTTTTCTAAAACTGTTGATTTTTTGTTTAATTACATTATGAAAAAATCATCACAAGGATATAATATCAGACAATTTGGTCAAAAAGCAATCGTAGGTCAGAAAGATTTAGCGGAAACATTTCAATGGTATCTAAAGTCTTCTGAAAGTGGAAATTTCGAAAGTCAATGGGTTCTCGGACTTTGTTATCAGAATAGAGTTGAAACTACGAAAGACGAAGAGAAAGCATTTTATTGGTATATGAAATCTGCTGAAGGTGGAAATCCAACGGGGCAAAATAATCTTGGATATTGTTATCAGAATGGAATTGGAATAACAAAAGACGAAGAGAAAGCATTTTATTGGTATATGAAATCTGCTGAAGGTGGAAATCCAACGGGGCAAGATAATCTTGGATATTGTTATCAGAATGGAATTGGAACAACAAAAGACGAAGAAAAAGCATTTTATTGGTGTCTGAAATCTGCTGAAGGTGAAAATCATCAAGGACAATGTAGTCTTGGATATCGTTATGAGAATGGAATTGGAACAACAAAAGACGAGGAGAAAGCATTTTATTGGTATCTTAAATCTGCTGAAGGTGGAAATCCAACGGGGCAAGATAATCTTGGATATTGTTATGAGTATGGAATTGGAACTACGAAAGACGAAGATAAAGCATTTTATTGGTATCTGAAATCTGCTGAAGGTGGAATTCATCAAGGACAATTTAGTCTTGGATATTGTTATCAGAATGGAGTTGGAACTACGAAAGATGAAGAGAAAGCATTTTATTGGTATCTGGAATCTGCTGAAGGTGGAAATCCAAGGGGGCAAAATAATCTTGGATATTGTTATCAGAATGGAATTGGAACAATAAAAGACGAAGAGAAAGCATTTTATTGGTATCTGAAATCTGCTGAAGGTGGAAATCCAATGGGTCAAAATAATCTTGGAGAGTGTTATGAACACGGAACTGGGACAATAAAAGACGAAGAGAAAGCATTTAAATGGTACTTTAAATCTGCAGCGAACGGAGACGATTTTGGTTTATACAACCTTGGAAAGTGTTATGAACACGGAATTGGAACATCAAAAAATGAAGAAAGCGCATTTCAATGTTATTTAAAATCTATTGAAAATGGAAATCAATGGATTCAATATTCGAAAATTCAAAACGTTAACTATCTTACTCGCGGAGGGTTTGGAGAAATATTTAAAGCTGATTTGATTCAAGATTATGGAGTTAACCTTAAAGTAGCCCTTAAAAGTTTACGCAGTTCCGGAAACATTACTATAGACTTTCTAAAAGAAGTAAGTTTAATTTAAAGTTGATGATGTATGCTTATATTGCCAGTTTTTACTATAAATGGATATTTTGCCTTTCTATGTATTATAGCTGTTAGCTAACAAAATATTAGATAGAGGTCTGGGTAGATTTATTATTCGATGTCTAGGTATTACAAAAGACCCGGTTACAAATGTTTATATGATGGTATTGGAATATGCAGAAGATGGAAGTATGCACCAATATTTATCAAATAGTTTTGAAAAAATCACATGGAGAGAAAAGGTTGAAAAGCTAAATTATATTGCCGAAGGGTAGTTATCTACGCGTAAATACCTGACGAGTTAATCATTATTTATTGAATTAGAAATAATGTTTATTTACCATGTAGGTTTGAAGAAATTCATAATAGAGGATTAATTCATTGTGATATTCATTCAGGAAACATTTTATTAGGAGTAAATGGTGTTCCTAGTTCTATTAGAATAGCTGATCTGGGTTTATGTAAAACTATGTCAACTTCTGATTATGAAAAGGCATGTGGAGTGATACCTTATTTAGCGCCCGAGGTTCTTAAAGAATATCAGTTTACTCAAGCATCCGATGTGTATAGCTTTGGAATGCTAATGTGGGAATTTACTTCGGGTCATCGACCATTTAAGGATAGAGATCATGATTGTATTCTTATTCTAGATATTATTGATGGATTACGACCTGAAATTACAAAAGATACACCGCCAGTTTTTGAAAATTTGATAAAAAAATGTTGGAATAATAATCCAGATAATCGGCCGAGCATGAGGGAAATTAAACAACAGCTTAATGAATTGTGTCGAGATATAGAGGAAGAGAACTTTGTTTCTGCCGAAAAATATCGAAAACATTTGATAGAAGAAAGAAAAAAAAAAGAAACTATTGACGTCGTTAACTCTAGGGTGTGTTATACAAGTATATTTTTACATTCTATAATTCGACAATATGCCCCATAAAGTGAGTATAATATACTTTAATTAATTAAAATTATTTAAAAAATTAATATTGAATATTTTTTTTTTTATTAAAAAAGATGAGTTCTTCGGAAGATATGTAAACTGGTAATGTTATAAACGATGTCATAAGGAAATCACTAAATTTTATCATATACTGACATTAAATATAAATCCGTACAAGACTTGAAAATTGATTTCGCGATCTAATTAAATTTTTGTCAAATTATCAGAGTTTTTCGATTTTGTCATGAGAAGTGTCACTAAGTGTTGCAAATTTGAGGGTCAACGATTTGGTAAAAATTATGACAAATTTTAACAATCTCAAATGACAATATAGTACTCTTTCTAAATATACAAGCTCTCTAAATGTATTCTATTTGATAGTTCAATCTTGAAACATAATGTTAAATGTATATTCTAGTTTTTAAATGTAATAATTTATCGATTATTCTTATTAAAAGAATAATTAATAGTCACATATTTTATATTAAAATATAAAATATATAGATATAAATATTTTTTATATATAAATCAGTTTAATACCTATTATAATTTATAATGATATTTTATTATAATTCAATATATTTTTATATAAACTTTATATTTTATTGATATATACAGTATATTGTATATCCAACTGGGAGATAGAAAGTGCGCTCTGGAGATTTTTGTTAAAAAGAATACGAAAAAGACTAGAAAGTTTTTCAGTGATGTGATAGAATTTCTCCGCATCGGCAATTTCTAATGTAATATTCATTACTGCATTATAAGTTACATGATACCGTGCGTTTCTTTCTTTTTTTATTGGTTCGGTCACGAGTGCGAAACTATCATAATTGTAACCGTCACTGCGTAATTAGATATGTGCAATTGTTAACTCCTTATCGCTAACTTTCGTCGATATTCTTAGGGATAGTGCTGATGCGATTCCAGAACGAATGGCAGATTGTATCTTTTATCGAAATCTGTGGTGGGATAAGGGAGAATTAAGCGAGAAAGCAAGGTGGGAAGAAGTAACGTAAGTCTCTTTTCCTATTTGTTTGACGCTGATATTTTTTTTAGCTAGTGGCTAATATAAATTGTTATTCATATGTATAAGATTACCTTATGTGCTTGTTACGGGCATCACCATAGAGGATTATGAACAACGTACAGAAAAGTTTAATATACACGGATGTTGGGAATGGTCAGATGGAAAAGTCATAATTTCCTTCTGCACCGCACGAAGTTTGCATCGCATCAATCACTAAAGAAATAACAAGTGAATGCAGTAATGCTGATAGAACTCTTGCTAAGATCATGGGTTTTGGTTGTACTCGTAAGTATTAATATTACAGTATAACGTATTGCCCTGTCTGTGCCTCTGTGGCATAGTATTAATTTGATTGCTTAAAGGAACATGCGACTTAAACCGTGGAAAAGAAGCCGACGCATCATTTCGCCCGAAAAAACCAGCTGTAACTCCACCAAATGGGAGCGATAGAAGTGTACTTCTGTATTTTTTATTGGTTTTTAATTCTTTAAAGCTAATAATTCAATATACTTTTTTTATTTAGGATTTTCCTTGGCCAAATTTAGTTGTAGAGGTGGCTTATACCGAAACATTAGATCACGTCGAAGAAGCGTTGCGCTACTGGTTAAGTCCTGGTCGCGCCCATGATTGTATTATTGTAAAAATCGATCCAGTTCCCCAAGGCCAAGTACCGGTCCGTATGAGGGTAAGTTATATTTATACAGCATAGCAATAATATTATTTGTATAACATTCTAATATTTTGATTTATTGTAGGCTTGGCATTACTGTGTCTCAGCAGGTAGAGGAACGAGAAATACAGTTCCTCTTGTAACTACGGTAATGTTAGACTATAGTGATTCGCTTTTCTGTTAACATTTTAAAAATCTCTAATGTATATATAATGATTATTAGTTTGAATTTGGAACCCAAGATGGCACTGGAGCACCATTGAATATCTTGCAAGGTCAATGCATTATCAACATTCCACTCGATTGTCTTTATCATAATGTGAAGCCTCCTATTCAAATTCCCCGAAATATTCTACCTGATCCTATTCCAATTGACTTTTTTTTTGTTCAAAATGAACTCACAGAAGCATATGACATTTAGGGAATATACACAATATTGGAGGCTCAGTTTTAATAAGTTTTTTTATGCTGGTTAACTCTGTTTGGGTTTATCTTTTAACATGTTACACAGTGTATGCTGTATGCGGGTGTTTATGTCAATAAAAAAATAATAGTTACTTTACTAAGCATGCATTGGGCTCATTATTTTAACTGCGGTTTAATGGCGTGTATCTGTAAGAATTCATTATATTTTTCGTGCTGTATGCCTTGTACTTCAATTGCAAAGCTATACTGTGGATAAAATATATCGAGCTCTAGTCCATTTGGATATGCTTGTGTCTTTAATAAATTAGGTCTGCGGACGGCGAAGGGGCACCAAGATATTTTGTTAAAATTTCACGGCATAATTTTTCTCTTTTATATTTTGGCCAGAATGGACACCAAGTTCCTTGTTTAATACTATTAGGAATAGCTTCCTATCGACGTTTATTTTCACAAATCCATTCTAGTTTTGTATGTGAGTTATGGTATCAATCTGAAAGACAATCTCCATTTTTTTTTCGTGCTAGTTTACGTATATCCTCAATTGACCAATGCAAAATGGACACCATTATCCTCCGTTTTTAATATGGTCAAGTGTATTTTGCCATTGATGATTAAATCGACAAACCAAGTAAGTGGTTCACCTATATTTTTATAATCATTTGAAAGGCATTGCCCATGCCTAGATAATGCAATTTGCTTCGCCTCCTCAATAGTTAATTTTGCAATACCCGCGCAATATGGAGGATCCACGATTTTTAATATCCGTAAGTGGACTATCTCAAATATAACCTTGATGGCATTTCCATGTCATCGGAGTTTTAGAATTATTATATGCAGTTGAAAGACATTTGCCATTTCAGCTAAGTGCAATTTTCCTAGCTCCTCAAGAGTAAGACGGACATTTCCTGCACGATATAGACAGCATTTTACCATGAATTTTTACTTTATTAAGAGATGCATTCCATAAAACCTTTAGCACAATTTGTTTAACGATCTCAAGAGTAAGTTTCATATTACCTGCACATTGCAGACACTATTGTCCTAAATTTTTAATTCTAGAAAGTGGAGCACTCCATACATGGTTCTTAGAACAGCGCCACATTAATGGAGTTCTATTATATTTATATTTAGTTGAAAGATACATTCAATCACATTCTTTAGCAATCATACATGCATTACTTAATGATAGCTTTTTCATTGTTTTTTAGCCGTAGTTGAATCTAGATCTAATGGAGTATCGAATCTTAATCTAATTGCAAGTGGATCATCTTCTGACCTGTCTAGGCCAAACACAACAAAATTTCCCTTACGGAGGTATCTGTTAATAACCATGGAAGCATTTCACATCATCAGTATATCGTCGAATGATTTTTGAAATATCGTCATGTGAGCTACCAGAGTTAAACATTACTAAATGAGAAATGTTCTCCCGAATAATTACTGGGACATGAGGATATTTTTGTGTTGCGCAAATTGGACTAATATTCCGATGTGTCCATGTATAAAGAATGGAATAACCTATTTTGTATAGCCTCAGGAGCAACACATAAATTCTCAAAGATAATAACAGTACTTCTTTCGGGAGAGAAAGATTTTACATTGGGAATTTTTTCAGGTGAGATATAATTAAACTTAACATTTTCGTAGTATGGTCTCTTGGATCACTTGCAATTATTCCATACATATATCTAACAAATGCCCATTTAGGCTCATCTGGTGGTATCCATAAATTATCAAATCATCGCATCGTATAAATCTTGATCCACCCTTTTCCTTTTATATATACATTCCATTTGTCACCTAGAACAAGATTTCCAAGTATATTAGCTTTACCCGTACCACTCCTACCAGTAAATTTGTAATATCTTGAATCAAGACTCCGGATTCTCTTACTCATCTTGACTATAGGGGTAGCATTTAGCTTGACTCCTTTAAACCTAATTGTGAACCAGTTTTCTTAATTTATATCCTTCTGAATACAGATGGGTGCTTGTTTTCCTATTTTTTTGTATAATAAAATGGAAGTGGATTAGGAAATAAATTTTATTATACCTTTATAGTTATGTAATTATTTTGATATTTTAATATTGTGAAGCTGTAAGGTTTGAAAAGTTCTTGTTAATTAAAGTAAATTGAATTTCTTGAAGAAATATTTTCTAAAAAGAAAATTTTCGTAAATGAAAATGTCATTTTTTTGTTATATTTATTTTTATATATTTGTTAAAATAAATAATATTTAATAAAAATATCAAACTTTTTTAAGAATTATTAATTCAACAAATTGTAATACCAATATACAATTAATTTGTATAAAAACATTATATATTTGTCATTAGAAATATTTTTGAAAAATTTATTTAATAATATTAATTATTTTTTGTAATATTTTTCAAATTAAAATTAAATTTGTTAAATATTGTTTATTAAATTTATTAATTAATTATTGTAACAAATAATTCTTGTTAATACTGTAAATTATTGTTAACTTAAAATTATTCAATTTAGAACCCATTATTTAAATAATTTTTTTTTATTCTGATTATAAGAAATTATATATTATTAAACTTGAATTTTTGATATTATTATTTTAAATACTATTAAAAATTATAATAAATTTTTTTAAATTAAAAACTTGTTTAACAGGTTTTTCAAAAAAAAATTATTTTTATTTGAGATAATATTAAAATAAAATTGCATAAAGAATTTGATATATGATTATTGAATTGTATAAATGATAATATTATTATTATTTTAAAAATTTTGCATCTTAAATTAATAAATTTCCAATATTATGTCCTTATATATTAAATCTGTAATAATTATTAATATTATCAACAATAAGATTGGTTTTAGACAAATAGAATAAACTTTAATTTTTCTAATAAAATATTAGACTAAATCATATTTAATTTATGATTAATATAACCCAATAATATTCCTAGATATAGGTATATAATCAAGGTATATAGATTTGATGAGTTTGACAAGTAAATGATACAACAATAAGCATTAGATAAGTATAATAAGTTTATTGATAATTTGAATGATATTATTTTTTTCTTATGTACTTTCACTATTATATGCATAATATTGTTATACTTCTGAATATACAGAAGATACAAAAGATACCTAGGACTTAAGATACAAAAGATTATTATATATAATAATTTATTTGTATTAATTTTTAATAATTTTAAAAAATTATTCGAAGGAATGATTAATGAAAATATGACATGCAGAGAAATGTTTAGTTAAAAAAATTGTTAATAAAAAATTGTTGACAGAAAGAGTTAAAAACATAATGTTTATTTCATCAAGCATGCAGTATAACATTTATACTGATTGAGTTAAATTTCGAATTCGCTATTAAATGATAGTGTATCTCCAATATTTGCTCCCTTTTAAGTACTATTCTAGTAATTGTTGACTAAAAAATTATAATGATAATTAGTCCAACAAATAGCATTTGTGTGCTTACCAATTAAATAGAAACTTTTTTTATCATGTCCTAGTTCTTCAAGGTTAATTACAAATCAGAAAAATAAGCGACGCAGAATAATAGACTATTGTTAAACAACTATGAAAATAATACAAAAACACGAAATAATACAAATATAAGATTAAAAACACAATTGATAGTTTAATTCACATTATAAAAACCTTCAAATTTTATCGCAAAATTTTTTAGACTATCATTTGTATAAACACAAAGCCCATGATATCACAATTTCAAAAATACCTAAAAATTAGAATTGTCCAAATCAACTAAGCTTGAGTCTAAAAAGTCAGTAAAATTTGTAAATAAAAATTTAGAAAGTAACGGACGTTATATTATCTAAAGTATATTCACCTGCATTGTCATCCGATAACATTTCAAGTACTTTTTCATAATTACGGGAATTTGTTGGTTGTGATAAATTTGAAAAGTTCAAAAGTCTGCTAGTATAAACGGCATTTGGGTGTGTTTTGTAATCAAGTCCCGAGAAGTTATTATTTGACGATTTTCTTGAAACTTTACTTTCGTAATCTTTAACTCGTCCCTTAATATCCGAAATTTTATCAACATACATCCATTTGTATAAAGTGTCGCGTATTTCTATAGCGTTGGGTCGCTTCGATGGCCTCGCATCCCAACATTGTATTATTAATCTAACTAAAAATTTATTCGCCTTGAATGAAACTTTTGGACGTAAGCCTTGACAGATTTGTACAGCAAGATCTTGATCATGAGGAATATTATAGTATGGAGGAAATCCGGTGATCATTTCATATGCTACGATTCCAAATGAATAAATATCTGCTGCCGGTGTGTAAGCATGACCACACAAGACTTC